GAAGGCTCACCCTCGATTTCCCCGCCCCAGCCTCGGGGACCTGTCCCCGGCCGATGCCCATCGGAGCCTCGGGGTCCTTTTCAGCGGCTACGAGACCCTCACGCACCTGACCCTTCAAGGGAACGACCAGAATACTGTGCTCCCCGTCCTGAGTGAGGCCCTGAGGCACCCCAAGTGTCACCTGCAGTGTCTCGGGTACCTCTGGCCACCCTACGAGCCCCCCCGCACAGGAAGGGAGCTGCCTGCACAGCCTCGGCCAGCAGGGCGGCGCCCTAACCACCCAGCCACCCGCCAGGGCCACCTGGGAACTTCTTTTTTTAGTTTTTACCCGAGGATGTTTTTTCCGTTGCTTTTCAGAGAGAGTGGGGGGGGGACATCGATGGGAGAGACACATCCATTGGCCGCCTCCCCCACGCGCCCCGACCAGGGCTGGGGGCCAGGCCTGCAGCCCAGGAACGTGCCCTTGACCGGGAATCAAACCCGAGACCCTTCGGTCCGAGGCCCGACGCCCTGACCGCTGGGCCACACCGGCCAGGGCTCAGGGCTGAGAACCTCTTCAAACCCAGACTCTCCCGTCTCGTGCAGATCTTCCCAGTCAGGCTCTGGGCACATGGCCCAAGGACTTGCTGTAGCTCATCTCCCGGGTGATGGCAGGGCCCCCCGAAAACACAGATCACTGGACCCTGCACCCAGGGTTTCTGGAGATGTCCGTCCCTAGCTTTTGGCCAAACGGTGGTGACGCAGGGGGTCCAGGGACGGCACTTTGACAGCCATCCTCCCGACCGACCGCGTGGCGCGGGGGGTGGACCTGGAGACGGGACCGGGTTTGGTTCTCCAGGATGAGTTCATCCCACGTCCCCTGCAGGCTGGTGTCCTGTTCGGCCACCGCCCAGCAGTGGGCCGATCTCGCCGCCTCCCTCGAGGCCCACGGCTCCCTCACCTGCCTGAACCTCACGGACGGCGAGCTCGGGGACCAGGGCGCCAAGCTGCTGCTCGCGGCCCTGAGGCACCCCAAGTGCCTCCTGCAGCGGCTGGCGTGAGTGTCCCCTCCTTGCCCGCGGGGCGTCTTTGTGTTTGGATCTGGGGCCCACGGGGAAGAGCTGCGGCAACACCCCGTTGGCTCGGCCCCCCCCAGGGAGACAACGCCTGCCCCACGTCTGGTCCCCGCGTCCCGCTCCCCTCCCGGGGTCGCTGGCAGGCGCGGGGTCGCCGGGAGGGGCAGGAGCGAGGCCGGCTCTCCCCGGGTCGGGCTTTGGAGCCGCTTTCTCGCCGTGGGACCCGCAGGTTGGAAAACTGTCACCTCACTGGAGCCTATTGCCAGGAGCTCTCGTCCGCTTTGGTCGTCAACCCTCGGCTGACGCGCCTGAGCCTGGCCAAGAACGACCTTGGGGACCGTGGGGTGAGGCTTCTGTGCGAGGGCCTGAGCTACCCCGAGAGTCGGCTGCAGACCTTGGTGTGAGTCCCCCGGCTGCGTGTCTGTGTGTCTTTATCTATAATAAAAGGAGGCAGCTGGAGGCCGGTTCCACTCCCTGCCACCTGGGCAGGTGGAAATTCCATCACCACCGGTCCACTTGCCTGCTGCGTGCGAGCCCACCTGGAGCACAGGGCTCTAGGGGGAGGCTCCCTGGTATGGTCGGCAGTGGCCTCCCGGGGACTGTCCCAGGTGGATGCAGCCCTCTCTTCTCCTGACTCTCCACAGGCCGAGTCAGTGCCACATAGCCCGACTCGGCTGCAAGCACATCTCCGCCCTTCTCCAGGGAGACTCCAGCCTGACGCACCTGGGCCTGGGCCTCAACCCCATCGCCACGGGGCTGTGCTTCCTCTGTGAGGCGCCGAAGAGGCCCAGCTGCAACCTCAGGTGCCTGGGGTAGGTGCCTCTGCTCGTAATGGCGTTTTGGGAGTACCCAGCCTCTGCGAGGTACTTTGGAATATAGGCTGTGTATTGTATTGTGTGTTCACCACCCCAGGTCAGGTCTCCTTCCCTCTCTCTAAAAGCCAGTGGAAAGAATACCCGCAGGTGAGACGAACAACAAAGGAGCTCGTTCACCAGCATCAACCTACCTAATCTCTCTCTGGTTCACTTACCCTAACAGTTCATTCCTGTGGTCTTCAAGGTGGGAACCAGGTGGAGGGGGGCAAGGGGGAAAAGGGGGACGTCTATAACATTCTCAACAATAAAGATAAAAAAACACTCCATGTGGCTTGGCCAGCGTGGCTCAGCGGTTGAGCATCGACCTAGGATCCGGGAGATCGAGGTTGGATCCCGGTCCGGGCACAGGCCCGGGTTTCAGGCTCGATCCCCAGCAGGGGCCGTGCAGGAGGCAGCCGATCAGTGACTCTCATCATTGATGTTTTTCTCTCTCTCTCCCTCTCTGAAATCAATAAATATATATTCTAAAAAAGGAATTGCAATTCAGCTTAAAAAAAA